GCAAAAGTACAACGTCCAAGGATAAGTTTAGAGTGATGGTCCTATTTCTTTTATGTGACTGCATTATATAGTAATCTACTTCTTTGAAGTTTGGTAATTTGGTTATTTACGTAGCATAAACTTCAGACACCTATTTCTGGTAATAGTGGATTAAATAATGCCTTCTAACACTCCTGCTAAGTACGCTAGAAAACATGAATGAATATCAGAAAAAGTAGGCAAATACTATTTGAATGTATTAGAAAGCTAACAAGGCTGAGACTGGGGAGAAACTGAAGCCTAAACAGATAAGTTTGGCAACTAGGGCCACTTTTCTCCTGGGGACATTTCTCTGCAGTTCTTGAAAATTTGGCTCAGAGTTTAAGGAGTAAGCAGCTCTTGTCTTGGGAGTCAGGGTGAACTGCAAGCAGCTCTCTCAGGGACTGATGCCCAATTGTAAATCATTTGGATCCTTGAGCTTGGGTTAAGGTGATCCAAAATTGCTAGTTTCCCTAACAGCCTGACAGAAGCAAAGGTAAATTCTCTCTATAGAAAGACAGTCTTATTCTGAGCTTCAGATATTGTTTATAAATTTTCATCTGGGATCATTTTCATTTTGCCAGAGGGGCATCCTTTGGTATTTCTTGTAATATGAACAAAAGAATCTGCTGATTGAAGGCCTTCATTTTTTAGCTTGATTAAAAATAAGTTCATTTCATATTTATTTCTGAAGGATATTTTTTCTTGGAGTAGAATTCTAGGCTGTTAGTAACTTTCTTTCAGTGTCTTAAAGAAATAATCTCATTGTCTTCTTGTTTCCATTGTTTACATAGCAGTAATCACCAATGCTCACATTTCCGGGTAACTTGAACTCCAAAAGCCATCTTATTGTTCTCAGTAAGTCAATAATAAATGGATTAGGTAGACTTCTACAATACGTCTCCATTCAGCATCTCCACTTCCTCAACATCCACTCACTCCTCAGCCCACTGCAGTGTGGCATCTGTCCCCAATATTATTCTGGAATTATTCTCATTAAGAACAATAGTATCTGCCTTCCATGTCAAAGAACCTGCAGTAATATTATTGTTCCTCAGAAGCATTGCCCACAGTCAATAACATTTTCCTTTATGCTAGATACTCCTACAAACACACTCTCTTGGTTTTCTTCATCTCTGTCTGGGCATTCGTTCTTCCTCAACTTTTCAAACTCTTCTACCCTTTGCAGCCTATATTTTGGCCATATTGACAAGTCTTTTTGTTCCTCAGTGCCACACAATCTTCTGGCTCCTTGTGCTAGTATCTCTGAAAAATATTTTTGTCCTTGGTTCTCATTTTAAATTTCCTCTGGAAAATTTTTTTTTCTATATACCTAACACTAGGTTAAGAGCTCCCATTTTTCTGCTGTCAACCATTGGTTGTAGTAGTCATATTTTACCATTGATTATTTGTTAATTATATTACTTCTTGCTAAGATATGAGTTCTAAGAAGATAGGGCCCTCTTCTTGTTCACTATTGAGTGTCCAAGATTCAGCCTCTGGAAAGTGCTCAGTAAATATTTACTGAGTGAAAAAATCTGCTGTAGTCTATTCATCTCTCCATGTACCATGCCAGTCCCCTATTAAGCTTTCATTACTGAATTTCTGCAAAAGCCTCCAAACATATGTCCATATTGCTCTCCTTTCTCACTTACATCTTAACCTACACATTGCTTTCAGATTAATGTACTCTATTTTGCCTTTAAATATTATTAAATATTATTATTCCCCCTCCCTTTCCACCACACACATATTCTTGGGCACTCTCATACACACACACCCACCCCTTTCAAATACAATATGTTATAGTTACATATTTATTAAATATTGAGACTCACAGGCTTGAAGACAACATGTAGTTACTTAGAAAAATGGATGCTAATGAGTTAAATTGTGTAAACATCCTATAGTAATTAACCTATTTGTAACATAAATGTGCATTTGTCGTGCTTTCAACATTTGTTACAGAAACAAATCTGTAATTATAATATAATACCCACAACATAACTCATTATCCCCTATATCTCTCAGTGCTTACCTGTTATCTTCAAAGCTATGAGTCTCTGTGATCCAGCAATCCCACTCATGGGCATATATCTGGAGGTAACTTTTATTTGAAAAGATACAGGCACCCCAATATTCATAGCAGCACTATTTACAAGATCCAAGACATGGAAGCAACCTAAATGCCCATAGACAGATAATTGGATAAATACGTTGTGGTATATATACAATGAAATACCACTCAGCCATCTAAAAGAATGAACTGCCATTTGCAGCAACATGGATTGATCTAGAAATTATCATACTGAATGAAATAAGTCAGACAGAGAAAAACAAAGATTATATGATATAACTTCCATGTGGAATCAAAATAAAATGATACAAATTAACTTGCTTACAAAACAGAAACAGAGTCAGAAACATAGAAAACAAATTTATGGTTACCGAAGGGAAAGGTGGGGGGAGGGATAAATCAGGAGTTTGGGATTAGCAAATACAAAGTGGATCAATTCACTCTGGTAGGTGAAAAGGAACTTCTTTAGGATATAGTACCAGGAGTGAATTCTGGAATATGAGAATGTTGAGGGGGCAAAGTAAAGATCATTTGGGAGAAGAATCATGGCCATTTGCATTTTATCTGGATAGTTACAACCTCATAATTGATGACTCAAGTAAGGTAAGAACTGAAAAGTCTTTATTACATTGAGAACTAAAGTGGAGCGCATGAAGGTGAGAGAAGGGGCAAGAGGGAGAGCATCACAAAACCAACTGCCACAGGATGTTGGTTATGGAGTAGATGGGCACACAAGTAAAGAACAGACTCCCAGTTCAGGACACTTGGCTGTGGAGAAAGCTCACCTGAGCCATTCAATCTTTCATTGAAATAAATTTGGTCTTCTTAATCCAGTGGATGAATTTTGTAACACAGCTTAGGTCTGCTATTATGAGCAATAATCAGAACTCCAACTGGAAACTGCAATTCTGTCTTTGAGATTTTGTTTTATGGCTTGCCTTGGCATTACAAAGAATCTCTTCCATACTGGCAGACATGCCTCTAGAATGGTGCTACCAGAATGTAATAATAATCCAGAAGGCTACTGACATTAATATAACCTGGCTTGACTTTTCATTGTCGAGTTACGCTACTGTAGTGTGTACATCCAGCACAGCGCTTGGGTGCTGAAGAGATAGCTAAGCTGAATGGCTACTTCCTTCTTTGACTTCTCGTTTCCCTTATTCTCTATAGCTGTCAGGAAAGTATGGCCTGCAAGCGAAATCCAACCTACAGCCTGTTTTTGTATGACTGTAAGCTGGGAAAGATTTTTAAGTTTTTAAAGGACTGGAACAACAACAACAAAAATATGCCACAGAGATTTATGTGGCCCACAAAGCCTGAAATGTTTGCTATCTGGTCATTGGCAGAAAAAGTCTTGTCAACTTGTGCCCCAGAAAATAGTATAGAGTTATCCTACTACTTCTGCCTTTTGTCCTTTCCTTTCACAATCTCATCTGATTTTAAGAGGGCTTATTGCTTAATAGTCTCTACGACTTGTCTCCATTTCTAATCCATGTCACCTTATTGACTGCTACTTAACTCTTCTTGTCTTTCCTAAATCATTTACCTTCCATATCCTTTCCCTATTGTGTCTCCCGAAATTCTTGCCTCAGTTTAGAGGAGGCTGGCATTTAATAACCAATACAAAAAAGTATTTCTTGCTAGGTGACTGATTACAAAGTGTCACAGATGTAATCTTGAAGTATTCATCTTAATTTTTGCTGCTTCTTCAGGTCAAAAAAAAAACCCCACAAACAAAAGGAAGTTGAAAAATCTTCTCTCTTATTTCATGCTGTCCATCTTTATCTGGATACCTTCCCTCACTCCTTTATCTTAACTTCACTCTTTTTATCTTTGATTTTTATAATCCTAATTAGCTCTAGTCCACTCACTTGTTAACAATTATCTCATCTCTAGCTAATTGAAGCAATCCTTAATTGTTTTACTTCAGTTTGTGTGTGTGTGTTTGAAATGTCAAATGCAGTCATATACATCTCTTAAAATTTTCTAAACTATGCTTCACTTTTTAGAGATGAATCAAAGCTAAAGAAAAGTGACCTGGACATTTTCCAACATGAGTTTTCTGCTCTTTTCAGATAGTAGGCTTGGTAATTGCCAATAATCAACATAAAAAAGAGCTACCGCAACAGTTTCCCACTTTTCACCTCATTATTTCCATGAAAATGATGAAATACACTTAACCTTTTCCTCATTTTATAACATTCGACCATCTACAACACAATATAATTTACAGACCTATGAGGAACTAAGTATGGACACAGCAAGGTTTTCAATTTCTTTTTTATATTACCACCAAGTCATCCTCACATTCTACATATTTCCTTTTAAGGTATTAAGTGGTATCTACTTCAACTTTTTTTAAAACTTACTAGCACTCAAAAAATATTTGTGCTTTTCTCAGACCTTTCCATTCTCACAGACCCGTGTAAATGACAGGGCAATATGATCCTAAAAAGTTCAACACTATATGCATTATGAAAAAAAGTTTGTTGTGCAATGTTAGAACATCCACTTACTTCATAAAGACAAAGAAGAGTTCTGTCATTACTGAAGTAATATAGAACACACTCTGGTTACGCAAAAACAAGAACTTCAAGCCTGAATGGCAACAACAGTTGTATGTAATGAGCCTGTTTGTACACACCTAATTTAAATCTCTTAGGTTTTCACTGGTATCTTTTATAGGCTAAACCAAACCCTAAGGATGTAATCTAATTAAAAGGATTAGTGCTTATTAATAAGCTAGCAGTAATATTTCATCAAAAGTTTGCTAAGTCTCTCTCTGCAAAACCAATAGATAAAAGCAGGCAGGGCATGAAAGTGTCTGTCTACTGCATTAGAACATGACGAAAATAATATTTCTTAACATTGCCAAAGAACCATCTATTTCTGAAGATCATACCAGTTCCTATTGCATAGGCCAGTAAGGGTCATTAAACACCAATGGGTCTCTGAGTCCTTCTTCAGAGTCAATGACATTGTAGACTTCACTCAGGATCTCATTTTCCTCCACACAAGGTCTGCAGGGCAAAGAAGGCAAATGAACTATGAAAAACATAATCACTGCTTTTACTGTTGCTTTTTTTGTCATAAAAATTCCATTTATTTAAATTCCATTAAAAAGCACATTTGGCTGCCGAGAGCATAAATATACACTTTTATTATACTTAGCATTTTTCATTTTCAAAAAAATTCTGACATTTGTTTAGATAAAAATGCTAAAATATTTTCAAACTACCTGTTTTAGATAACCATTTTCTATGTGTTTGTTGCATATAATAAATGCTGGAAAAACAAGTGATTTGCAATGCAATTCAAAAACTGTATATATTTCCCACTAGAAGTTATCAGATTACACTGATCATTATCCTTACTCTGTCATGTGCCTGCCACTACGACTTTTCCCAAAATACAGCTCTTAGGAGAGTGATTTAAATTACTTGAGCTGTAGTGGAAAACATTTTTTAAAAATCTCATTTATCTAATTGCTGTGATGCATTTAATAAATCATTAACTGAGCAAGTGCCAGTGTTAGAAATTCAGAAAGGCTCTTTAACACAATGTTCTCCTAAAGACGAAACTATAACTCAGTCATTCATATTTGCCTGTGCAACTTGGCAGATCACCAAAACCAAATATTGGGGGAAATTATCAAGCAACAACATTGACAATACCTCCGTCCTAGAAATAAATTTAAATTTAGTAAAACTAAAGGTAAAATTAAACTACCTAATACCAGAGTCGTTCTTCTTTAGAAATATATATAAGATTAAACCAAGATTATAAATTTATTAAGAATTGAAATGATCTCTAATTTTATTATAGTCCCAGACCTGTGCACATGGGTTATTTGGGAATTTTTCGCCAATTTATTTTTAGAGTATTGAAATGGAATAGCCAAGTAGCAGCATTTACATAAGAAGATACACCTAGGAACACTCTCTACAGTATCATTTGCAAAAATAAGAAACTGGAAATAACTTTAATGTCCATCAATATGAAATTGTTCAAAAATCATGTTTTAGTCACACAATGAAATACTATTTAGCAGTGAAAACAAATATTTGATCTACAGATGTCAATTGGATCCATTTGGATAGATATCAAAAAATTGTAAGCAGAGAGCAGATTATGATATCATTTATATAACTTTTTAAATCATCCCAAAACAAGTTTATAAATCATTTTAGATGACATATATGTAATATATGAATCTAAACATACTTAGGAGACCAGTATGAAGAGGGCAAGGAGAGGAATAGTTTTAAAGTGGTGGGGGAGCACACAGAGGAATTCAGCTCTTAGTGATTTATTCCTTTAAAATACCTGGAATAACTATGACAACATGATGAGGTTAACAAATATAGATGATGTTTATCTGTTACACACTATATTGGTGTATCTATTTTCATGTGTGTCTGGAGTACATTATAATGACAAAACACTTACAGGAACAAAATTAGTGAGACCTCATTGTTATATTAATAACCAAAAAATGGCTTCTATACATTGGCCTATGTTGTCTACTTCTTCACATTAGGTTGGAACCTTAGCTCCTATGCTCACCAAAAAACCTCCAAAGTTTTACTCATCCAATTGTTTTCAATGTAGCTGAAATAGGGAGATTTTAGCTATTTAGAGTCTTCCTGCTTTGCATACCACACAAAACTGCACCCAAGATGTGCTAGCCATAGATCAGATAAGCTCTGTGGTCATAAAAGAAAGACTCCATGCTGCTGCTGCCCGTCAGAGCCCTCTGACCCCGAGACTCTCCACCCTGCTACTCTCTGCCCCTCCTTCTTCTGAGGACTTTTCCTTGCCCTCTTGCTCTTCTAGGTATGGTCCCTCACCTCTTGCCTCTGGAAGGTCTCCTGCTGTGAGGGACACTTCCCCAGGTGGAAACCTGCCAAAGAGCCACCCAAACAAAACTCATTGTCTGCTACTGCCACCTCATGGTCAAATCTGTTTCTTTGATCAGCCCCCAAATCCTTCGAACTCAATACACTAGGAAAAAGAACTGGGAAACATCAGAATAGAGGTCAGGAGACCTGAATTCTAGCTTCTGTTCTCCACTTTGGCCTTTTCAGTAGTCAGAACAGTTGAAATAACATTAATCTGGCTAAACACGTCCAGTCTTTGTCAAGAAGAGGATCATTATTTCTTCAAGAATAATTGTTAGCTGTGAGTTTTCAGAAAAATACCAGAATCTTTTGGTTGGCCATTTAGAAAACTGTATCAAGGAGCGTGGTGTTCAGAGAGACGCACAGGGCCCTCCTGGCCTGCCCTGCGGCTCACACGGTCAAGTCCTCCTCTCTCTACCACTGCGATGAGCACAGTGCCTGCCAGGCATCAGAGGGACAGCATTTGAAACTCATGTAATAAAACATTTAAATAGAAGAGGAGAAAAGGAAGTTTTATCAAAGGTAAGAATTTAATACTAAAGCAATAATAATACAAGTGGAATAAAAGGAAGCATAAAGCAGTAAACTAAAAAATAATAATAAATGGAAGTTAATCGCTAAAATAAGAAATTAAAAGGACAGGCATAGAAATATGTCTATCATGATTGGATTGTCTCTTTCACTCATATGTTCATATAAGAATAAATATTTACAGAAGAATATTTAAGAAAATGTAAAACTGGAATGGGGGCAAGAAAATCTCTTTATGACCCTCTGTACTCATTTGAATTTTTTTTTGACCAAAGGCATGTACAAAATTGACATGAACCAAAAACTTAAGACAAAACAAATATCAAAATCTCCTAAATTTTCAATGAAATTTCACAGTCTAGATTTATAATAAAATTTCTAGGTTTTAAAAGATATTTATATCCAATAGAAAGTCAGTGGGATATATTTGTCCCAGTGACAAAAATTTTGATCCCTGCTCTATATCCTCAAAATTCTACTACATGTAATTGGAACTCAGAAGGGTAAAAATCCTATTATCTTGAGACAACAAATTATAAGAATAAAATAGGTTACTTCTTCACAAGATCTGATGTAAATTAACATTATAATGCACTGAATCTGAAAATCCCCTTGTTTTGTTTAGCTCAAAATAGGGTACTTTTTTCAGAAACTTATATTTTAAATATAAATAATTATATCTTGATTTTCATATCCCTTTCAGTTACTTTCTCAGGATTAACACTGAGAGAAAATCTAAATATTTTGAATCTAAACTGCCTAGCTTTTCAAAATATTTTTCTCTCTACTTATATTTTAGCATATCTGCTAAATTGCAACATTTTCATTTGCCTCTCTCTGATTCCCGAACACAATGACCTGAACTAAGTCCATATGGGTGACACTGAGATGCAATGAACAACAGGTACCTTCCTCATCTTGCATGTCCCTGAAGAGCACCTGCTGTCTTCAGAAATGATTTAAGTGACCCAGGTTTGAGGCATCCCATTGCAACGATTACAGTTCTTATAACTGAAGAAAATTGTGTGAAAGCTACATCTCTGTTGGATTTAAATTCACAGAACTACATAGCTGAGATTCAGAGCCCTAAATAGGATGTCATATAGGAAAATGCCAAACTGGCTCCAAGTGATGATTCCTTTTCAATTTTTGAAAATAGTAATGTTAACCATCGCATCATTATCTATTATCCTACTAGATGTTTTATAGGAAAGCTCCATTTTGGAAAGTAGTGCATTACTTCACAATTCTACCAGTTTCCGTTAATTATGCATGTGTATACTTAAGCATACATACATACATACACAGTTATTTAACAACTAAATGAAGACACACACAAAAAAATTTAAAAATAACTTAGCACATATACCCTTTTTATTCCTAACAAGTTTCTTTTACCTTTTTTAGGAAAGTAAATGTGACAGATTTTCAAAAATTGGCCCAGGGACTATCTTTGAGACAGCCATGGGAATAATCTGCCATAGAGAATAAAGCCACAGCCATGATACAGTTAGAGGTTTGGGAGCCTTGCCAGAAACAAGCTGGTAGGGCCTGCAGACTAACCTCAATTCATGCAGTTCTCAGGCAGATAATAGCTGCATGGTTAGAAGCCACTTCACTGACTCACCTAAACACTACTTCAAGTTTCCCTTCTATGCCCATCTCACAGCATGGCTTGGAAAATATTTTATCTTTGAAAAGATACTAACTTACTAACTATCTACCTGACAGTGTACACAGATTTGCATCTAAGCAAGGGCTCTTTCTATGGGAAATTAAGATTTTAAATTTTTTTAAGCAATAATGCAAATACTCTTCATTGTGAAAAAAATGAAAATTATCTGGAATAATAATTTTTAATTCTTTCTCATTATTACATACTACAAAAGCAAACAACAAAAATCTTGTGTATTCTTCTAGAAATATGCAAATCTATGTGCTAGTACAAGGGTCAAAAAACTTTTCCTATAAAGAACCAGATAGTAATTTAGATATTATGAGCCTTTATAGTCTCTGTACCAACTATTCAACTTCACTGTAGTAGCAAGAAAGCAGCTATAGACAATACATAAACAAACAGTCTGGATTCCAGTAAACCCTATTTACAAAATCACGTGCTGGCAATATTTGACCTTTGGCCCTTGTGTCATAGTTTGTCGAACTCCGTGCTGGTCTGTAACACACTTTTACCAATGACACAGCTGATAACTATAAAAATAAACATCTATAATTAAGTATAAAGAAAAAAATAATCCACTTCCTATTGAGGTGTAAGTGCAATCTGCTCTTAAACTGTAGCATTAAATCCCAGGAAAAAGGTGAAAAACAACAAGAACTAAATGCATTTCTTTTCAGTACTACTGCTTTTGGTCTTTCTATTTACTCTTCAACGCTTTTTGTTGTGTTTTAAAAATAGCAACTGATCATGCAACTAGAGAGAGAGAAAACTAACATTTCAAAGGGCAGCACTGCTGACAATTGAGTTCTCTGCTAGGTGAAATGGGCATTGACTTATCACAAAAAAACAGAAGTGGATGTTTTCAGTGAACGTCCTAGAAGGTGTGCTTGTAATGAAAGATTAATCAATA